TAATACTGCAGTAGCAATAAAACAAACAGCAATGTAATGAAGTGTCTCTGGAAGTGTCTCTGGAAAACGAGTCGAAAATAATAAATGCTTAGACACAAAAGTAAAGGCAAATTGTTGTTTAATAAATATACAATTGCTTCCAAAAATATTGCACCTTTATCTGGTTCAGAGCTGCCTTATATGCTATTTTGATTAGGCTTCTTGAGTAAATTAAAAACAGTTCTCATTTTGTAGACACAAGAATGTAAAATATTTTCAGCAGGATGTTACTCACAAACCATCCAAAAGTTAGTTTTGACCATAATGCAAGGAAATCAATCTGACCAATGAACTGTACAATTTATATTCTGAAAACTATCTGTTCCATAAAACAGAAATTGCTAAATTTCTTCAGAACTAATATATTTCTCACTTCATATATGAAGAGACCCATAAGTTCAATCCAGTTGTGTTCTCAATATAGCTGAGAATATGTTTTGGTTCTATATCTTTCCCTGTGTTCCAGTGCACTTTTGGTAGCCCTACTCTTTATCACTAGTCAGCAAAAATAACCATGCAGGTTTCTCTTTTGACATCAGCAGGTTACAATGCTCAAGGTAGACATCAACAATTATATAACTTGATATAGATATATATATGTGCATATGTATGTGTGTGTATACATATAACTTGTTTGAAAAACAGTAACTAACAACCACTAGTACCTATGTATAATGCATATTATATTCATGTGTATACTGCATATTCATTCAATATTAAGCAAAAATTAATTTCCATAGCAGGATTTAACTGTTTAAACATTAATAAATACAGGAATTTGGACAGAACATTTATGTGAATGCACTGCAAAAAAAGAGTAAATGACAGGAGAATACTTGGATCAAAAATCATTTCATTATCTTTTAACATGACAGCATGTGTGTATCCACATATGCACAGCCACTCAGTGCAGGAAAGCTGTGATTAAAAGCTCTCATGCATGAATACATGTGGACAATGATGTTAACACTAGTCACTCAAAAGGGGATAAAGAGGTAATGGGTCAAAAAAAGGAAGCGATTTTTGTTAGCACCATTATACTCATGTATTCACTAGCACCAGACCTTGTAAGGCTTTGAGAGCAGAATTCCTTATTCTGTATGCTTGGTCAAAAAAGGCTCACAGACCATAATAAACAAGTACTTTCACACAGTGAAGGGGTCACTTTCCTTTCATTAGTGGAAATGATGTGTATTAGGAAAAAAAAAAAACAAACCAAAAAACTTATTTTCTTCTACATGAAAAACAAAGAGCTTTTTATTATTATCATTTTTTGCTCATTGTTTTAAGCTACTTCTAGATATATCCAGATTTCTAGTTTAAGATACTCTATTGGGAATCCATTCTAGATGGAATTTCATGATGAGATTAAAAAAAAAATCTTTCCTTTGAATTTTCACAAGTCTGTCTGGTGCTATAACATATCAGTAACCATTGATTACTGATTACCATGAATCAGAGTAGCACCTGTTATTCTGCTCATAGAAAGGCATATTGATCTGAATGGTACACAGCTAATTAAGCGATGTATTTATTTCATCATTCAGCAACAGTTCTACTAATTCCAAACAGCTGTACAAAACAGGGTGTTGTTATTGTACAGGTAAGAGTGCATTTGTAAAGAAAACCTCATCCTAACACTCTTATTTACATTATGCTCACAAACTGAAACAGGCAAATTCAGATATAAATTCTCACATTTCTACCTCCTTAGTTTACTCCAGTGAGAAACGAGTCCCTTATTTTCTGCCTTGACAGGAATTTTAGCCCCCATTCCTTTGCATACACAGAAGAGGGAGCTCCCATGTGGGGTTATACTGCTCAAACTGTCTCCCTGCCATCACCATTTCCACTCTGATCCCAGGTGGGCAGAGAAGCAACACACCAGTGAAGGAACATAGTATCCTTCCACATGTACTGGAGCCTTCTCAGGGAAATTAGCAACTGTTACTTAATGTAATGATCTTGATTACACAAATCTAGAGATTAGTCCCATCTGAAAATTTCCTTTGACAACCACCACATAGGACCTCCATGGGCAAAGGGACCAGCACCCATTCAGCTCCAGCTTCCTTCTTGATACCCTTGAGGATCCTCCTTGCCAGAAGTCGAGGGGACTTGCTCTGTTTGGGACAGCTGTGGATCACGAAGCCATTAAACCATTAATCACATTAAACCATTACATCTCTTATCTTCTGGAAAAGACAAAGATGAATTCCCCTCCCTCCATCCTTTCCTTGCTTTTACCCAGAACAACTGGTGAGAAAAGCCCCAAGCCAAGAACACCTGACACATCCTTTCACTAATATCACTTCAGTACACTATTTTACCCTAATTAGCCCACAGTTACATTACAGATACTTATCCAGAAAGTTGAGCAGAAATGTCACAACAAACACACAGATGAATCTTCTTTAGCTATGTGTATAAATTCTAAGTTTAGTGTTCTATTAATACGTTTCTAAACTGAGCATCTCTATTCCAGTTACTTTCCAATTTTAGTCATCTAGATTTTAAACTAGCTGTTGCCAAGAAAGTTTGTGAAAGCTCACTTACTTCCTCTTCAAATGAAAACCGGACAGCCATGTTCAAAGACAAATAATATGACTAACCCATTATTTTGTAAAACTACTCTGTGGAAAGCAATAAGATTTGGAGATGCTTAGAAGGAAAGAAAAGTCACCAAAAGAAAGATTATTCTCACCAGCTTCACAAACCATCAACATGTTCCTCTCTGTTCCCTACAAGGGATTTGGTTTTTTCTCAGGAGGATAGTAGAAAGCACAAGAACAAGGATGACAACTCTTTCAAATATTTGAATAAGAATGAATGAGAAAGAGGGAAGGAGGGAGGAAGAGCGGAAGGGAGAAGGAAAAAGAGAAGAAAGAAAGAAAAAGAAAGGAAAGAAAGGAAAGGAAAGGAAGAAAGGAAAGGAAAGAAAGGAAGGGAAAGAAAGAAAGGAAGGGAAAGAAAGAAAGGAAGAGAAAGGAAGAAAGGCAGAAAGGAGGAAAGGAAGGAAGAAAGGAAGGAAGAAAGGAAGAAAGAAAGGAAGAAAGGAAGGAAGGGAAAGAAAGAAAGGAAGAAAGGAAGAAAGGAAGAAAGGAAGGAAGGAAGAAAGGAAGAAAGGAAGAAAGGAAGAAAGGAAGAAAGGAAGGAAGGAAGGAAGAAAAAGAAAGAAAGAAAAAGAAAGAAAGAAAGAAAGAAAAAGAAAGAAAGAGAAAGAAAGAAAGAAAAAGAAAGAAAGAGAAAGAAAGAAAGAAAAAGAAAGAAAGGAAGAAAGAAAGGAAGGAAGAAAGGAAGAAAGGAAGAAAGAAAGAAAAAGAAAGAAAGAAAAAGAAAGAAAGAAAAAGAA